CTCTAGAATGAATAAAATATGTCATAATGTATGAGGAGTAAGTGGTGTGTGCTTTTGGGTTTAACCCTTTGAGGGTCGACAGGCCCTCTCCGAAACTCGTTCTCAGGGTCGGCCAAATTTAAAAAAAAAAAAATTATTTTCTCTTATGAAAAGATAGAGAATCTTTTCCCGATCATAAAGACACCAAAAGTTTGAAATTTGATAGAAAACTTACGGAATTATGCTCTCGCAAAGTTAGCGGTCTCGGCGATGTTTACGCATCGGGGATTTTGCCCACTTTGAGCCCCATTTTCGGCCAATTTCACTGTACTAGTCGACAAAAAACATGAATATTTCGCTAGAACTCCATTTTTTCTATCGAATGGATGCAAGAAACCACTCATTTATGAAATTCAACTATCCAGTACAGTGGTCAGAATTTAGCAATTTTGCCAATTTCACACAAATTTCAAAAGATGCCAATTTCGGAATAGGGTCCAGAATAAACAAGAAAGACATTCCTGGCACTAAAATGACATTTCCTCTAGTCATTAGTCATGTCTCAAGTCCCCTCTTATATTCTTTTGCTTTCCACTTTGAATTTTTATTTTCACAAAAAATATAAGATTTACTGTTATGCAGACTACTGCATTAGTGTAAAAAATGGTATAAATATTATTGGTGCACTTGTGAAAGAATATTAGACTCACCAGTTGACGTGTATTGCACGCTTGGCACGATTTGTTTACTTTTGAAGTTTGGTAAAAATCGAACATTTCTGCTACTTTGAGCTCAATTTCAAGGCACCTTTCTTTGTAAAACCAGTCAAAATCATCTCAATTTCTGTAATATGTCTTCCGTTCTATAAAATGAGACCAAGAAACTAGAATACAACAATAAATACCATACGAAAATACACTGCAAAGTCGCTGATTTATAAAAAAAAATGGTCAAAGTTTTTTTTTTCTCATTATGCACTGTGTGCTGCAGGATTTTTTTTAGACTGTGCACACTGACCACATAGACCCATTCTTTCATATGAAGGCCTACCAGCTTTCTCCCACTAGATTTGAGGCCGCTAGAATTTATGAGTACTAGTACGTCAAAAACCCCTACGCGTAAAACGTACTAGTACGACGAAAACCCTCAAAGGGTTAAGGGCTGCCACTGAGAGAAGCTGTGTTGGTGGCAGTGGAGGCTTTGGCCACCACCACCATCACACTTAAACAATGTACAGTGGTCCCTCAATAATCGACCGGCCTGAAAGTCGACCATTTCGGAAATCAACCGGTTTTTTCGACAAAATATTGACTCGGAAATTGACCGAAATTCGTTTATCGACCCGTCTCGACCCGTCGTACCAGACGCGTATGCACGAGGTAAGCGGGCCTCGACCCGCCTCAGCCTTCCTTCCCAGCCAGTGTGCCATTGTTTACCAGTTAGCGGCGGTCCTCTCACGTGCTCCAGTGAAATATTTCATTTATTTTAGTGCTTGCAAGTTATTTAAGTGCTAAATAAGCTACCATGGCTCCAAAGAAAGCTCCTAGTGCCAAACCTTTGGTAAAGAAGGTGAGAAATGCCATTGAATTTAAGAAAAACATCATTGAACAATATGATAGTGGCGTACGTGTGGGCGAACTGGCGAGGATGTATAACAAAAATCATTCAACCATATCTTCCATCATAGCCATGAGAAAGGAAATCAAGGACGCTGTTGTTGCAAAGGGGGTAAATATGCTGACAAAAATGAGATCACCAGTACTGGAAGAGGTTGAGAAGTTATTATTGGTGTGGATAAATGAGAAACAATTAGCAGGAAACAGTCTTATGACCTCGATTATTTGTGAAAAGGCTAGGCAGTTGCATGAAGATTTGGTAAATAAATTGCCTGCAAATAGTGGTGAAGTGAGTGATTTTAAGGCCAGCAAAGGCTGGTTTGAGAGATTTAAGAAGCGTACTGGCATACACAGTGTGGTAAGGCATGGTGAGGCTGCCAGTTCGGACCACAAGGCGGCTGAAAATTTTAGGGAAGTTTTAAAGAGACGCCAGAAACAGAGCTCTCTGCACAGTTATTTTGCGAGACAGGACTCCAGTGACTCTCAAGCTGGTCCTAGTGGCATTAAGAAACAGAGAAAAGAAGCAACCCCAGAAAAGCAAATGGTACCTGAGGTGTTGCTGGAAGGGGATTCCCCTTCCAAACTATAAACAATCCACTCTCTCCTCCTCCTCCAGTCTCCCATACACTAAGAAGAATCTCCAATAAAGGTAAGTGTTATGCTGTTAATGTTTCATTCATCATTTCCCATTGTATTGTTTATGTACTACATGAATATTTCGTGTAAAAGTTTTTTTTGTTTTAATACTTCTGGGTGTCAGGAACGGATTAATTGAATTTACATTATTTCTTATGGGGAAAATTGATTCGTAAATCGACCATTTCGATAATCGACCGGCTTCCAGGAACGGATTACCGTCGATAATCGAGGGACCACTGTATGTAATTTATAAATAAGAAATATTTACATTTTAATTTATATTGCAAATACAGTTACATACATAGCAACACATGTGTAAAGTACCCAGGATAACCCAAAAAATTCAAGAGTGACATATTTCCATTGGTGTCCTTTTATATGTACTCTATTTACTTTTATACTTACACTTTTATATTTACACTTACCTTGGGGGAGATGTTGGCAGAGGTTTAGGGTGGTGGAAGATAGCAGGGCGGTGTATGTTCAGCGGTCCTATACACATCCAACAACATTGGAGAGTTACTCTCGTGTTGTTTTTCTATCGCTTACTCGCTTAACCTACTTGCTGCACTGTTAATTCTACACTTTATCGCTGGCTGGAGCTATAGCCTTTATCGATACCTGCTGCTTTAGTATCATACATATTGTAGAATCACTGAAACACTGCAGAAGGCAAATTCTCCCCTCTCTCTTCCTCCTCTACTTTAGTACTTTGCTATGAGTTTTTTCTTGAATTCTATTGTGTTTCTCACCTTCTTTACCAAAGGGCTGTCACTAGGAGCTTTCTTTGGGCCCATGGTGGCTTATTTAGCAGTTGCAAGCACAAAAAACTATGAATTATTATGAAATGTGTTGTATGAACCCAAGGGGTGATGGTCACATGCAGGTAAACAATGGCACACTGAGTGTGAATAGTGTGGGAGACTGGCTTTGTGTGCGCGCTGACAGACGCATACCAGAAGGTTGCCAAATCACGAGTCCGATCATGAACCACGAAGCTAAATTTTGCCAAAAAAAAAAAAAAAACTTGCCAAAGTCGGATTTCACGAAAGTTGCGGCAGCCGAACAGTGGGGGTCCACTGTATTAAACTTAGAATAAATCTTCATAAATTTATGATTTATGATCTTAGTAAAGACCATTACCAGGAGAGCATAAATCCCAATGGTAAGGTTAGACAATCGTTAAGGCGTAATAAATAATCAATACCTTACTGACAACTCATAACAATCAAGAGAGACTTCTTGAATTATTCCATATCATTACCCAAACAGTTATCTGCTAAGAGATATTCTATATTGTCCCACGCAAGAGACTAAGTAATATTCTAGAGCACCAGGAGGAATTGCATTAACGGCTGAGGGCCTGAACCTACTCAGAAGTTTGTGTATGAACCTACTGCCTGACAGTGACCGTATACCCCCATGTAAGGTCGGTCAGAAGTAAGCCGGCAGCTAAACTAGCGTCCGGTCATTTACCTGGTGCATCAAGACAATTGCACCATTATTGGCAAACACAGAGTCCCATAACCTAACACATTATAATAATAAAAAGAGGAGGCACTAAACTGACAAACATATACGTATGTAATAAAATTAAAGAGCATTATTATAATTATAATCAAAAAGAAGCGCTAAGCCACAAGGACTATACAGCAATAAAATTAAAGAGCAGTATCCTAGTATCATGATACATGAGGTCAGATAATATAAAGTTGGAAATCTTTACTGTAGCTACTTAGTGAAGAAGACCGTTATACGTATAATATTAAGTGAAACCTCGTAACTAGAATATACTCAAATAATTGTCAGGCATAACCTGTAACATTGACCAAATTACTGGCTTCTGTGCACTTATAAGATAGTTCTGATAGTTGAATTGGCTGTGTCTTGTGCTCAGTTGATAGGGAAAGGCATATTAGTGAAATAACTAAGAATTTGGTTGAATTGAGCAATGGAATTGGCATAAAATGGGACTCAAACTGGAGAAAATGGCTGATGCATAAATTGAGCCCAGGCCGCCATCTTTGCCTGCGTTAGTCCATAAATTTTTTTATAATTTTTGTATTTTTGGTGTCATTACCTTCAGAGAAAGATTCTGTACTATTTCGAAAGATATTTTGTTTTCTTGGCATTGTCAGCACTTTTAATTTTTGGGGTCCTAACACTGAATGGCTGAAAATAAATGGTACAGTATTAATTTTGAAATTTCCTTCATTCTAAAGATAAGGATGTTAATAAGAAAATATAAATGGATGGGGCTGTTCTCATACACAGTATTTTGCACTGAGAAGGAAAAAAACCTAATTATACCAAACCATGTTAGTTTATAATTGAAAGATGCAGAATCTTGCCTAGCCATTATTCTGTGTGATTGAAAATTTTAATTAGTTTAAACTTTGAAGGGCATTTCCAATTAATTCTACATTGCACATTATAAAGAGTATACATGTTATTCATCTCTCAGTATGATTGTTGAGTTTACCTAAATTAATTGTACAATGAAGCTATATTTGTTACAGATTTTTACATCTAGTCAGTATAGTGAATTTATTTTAATCTAGTGGAAGCACTAAATCCATAGGGGTTATAAAACACCTGAGAAATAGGAGGCATTCATGTTTGATCTAACAAGGAGGAGGAGAGATTGTTTCTTAGATGAAGAGCCCCCACTGACATCAAAGTATCTTCCTTGAGGGAAATATAGGATGAAGAAATAGTTAATATCTTAAGAGTTCAGTGAAGTACAGTTCTCCTTTTGCATTGCAGCAGGTACACATTGCGTGGAAAGGTTCGTGACGATGTCGGTGGTGCAAAGTTGAGCTTTGAGTTGGAGGTGTGTCGAGTACCACGCCTCGATGTTGTAGGAATCAGGCGCAAGAGATTGAAAGGTGATGCTTGGATCTACAAGCGTGTGTGTGAGGAGGTGTTGCGGCTTGCTCAGAGTACCTCGTCCAACAACACTCCTACCTCCACGAAAAGTACTCCCATGAATGGGTCTTCTTGTGTTAATCAAACCATTGTTCTGGCTTAATGTGTGTGTTTTTACAGTGAAGCAGGGGTGATCATGTACAGGTTTTATATGAATGGGTAGGAATATATTTATGCAAGGGCAAATTTTCCTGAAGATACAAATTATAATTACTGTGATGTGCAGCTCATTTTTATCGCATGCTTGAAAGCTTGAGAGTTGAGATAAACTAGAGACCAGACTTTCATTGATCTCTTTAACTTGCCTTAGCGACTTTTAATGGTGCATTTAACTTGATAAATTAATTTGATTATCACATTAGGGAAGCAGTCATGCATTGATTGTGGTTAGCATTAATGGGCAAGATGTGTACCTTTTTACAATGTCCATTCCACAAATACTTGATGCAGTGATGATGTTGGGACTTGCTGCTTAGGCTGATGCAATGACCCAAGGTTATCACTCCAGGCTGAAACATGTTTTAAATTTTTAATACAAATTCATACACACATTGCTGATTAATGACATTTGCTCAAACCCAGTTTCACAGTTTAAAATCATAATTGTATAAAACATTTTACTAGATTCCTTACCTTTTCTCCCCATTATTCCTTTTTTATTAAAAGTTTGTAAATTTTTTTATTAAAAAAAAAAAAATACCCTAACATTTTATTGAAATAAACCAATAACATGACTCTAGTTTTCAGGTTTTTATGAAATTCTTTGAAATTTGTTATAGGGATTTAGTCAGACTTGGGTACAACCTCACTGCAAATAACTCTCAAGGCCAGGCTAGAAAAACTCAGAATTCATCAAAGGTACAGACAGGGCCATATTACTGTAGATGCTTTCAGCAGATTTTTAAGTTGCTGCTTATAGCTGTATTTACCTAAAATACAAACACCAAAATTCTCACAGACTTCGTTGGTTTTTCTTTAAGTATCTAAAATTTTTGTTGTGTATGGCAGTTGTATTTTATTACTAAGTGAGGAATTTTAAGGACACAAAGCATAGGAATAATCATGGAAGATGGAAGTCCAAGAAGTAAACCCATCTGAATCTGTATCAAATTAGTTTACATTCATCTGTTCTGAAGTGTAGAATCTGTATTATTGGGTTGTCCGGTACCAGTGTGTTAACTTATAATTTGTTTAGCAAAATACTGGGATTTTTAAGCATCAATACCTGAATATGTACATTGTACATTAAAACATTGCTGATTTGTCACTCATAAAGGAGCAAGAAAAGAAAAGCAATTGATTAACGTTGTTTTGTGACCAAAGCTGAATTTGTCCAGATGTTACCAGGACACTTGAAAGCTGGTGTTGTAATTGACTTGTTAGGTCAGCCTCAAGACTTAGACCTAAAAAAGATGAGTTAGAACCATGAGACTGTATTGACTGTCTTTTAGCATGACAGTTAATATAATGGGGAAGCCCTAAACTTGTAGGGGTAAATGAGAAGTAGGTTTGATCCAAGGAAGGGAAGGATAACTTTAATTCACTGGATGAGAAGCATTTTACCAGTATCAAGAACCCCCATTGCCTTCCTTTGAAATATGTTGTTCTGCTCAGTGAGGGTGGCAGAACTCCATTACAATAGTTTACTCTTCATCTTGAGGTGTCAAACTGATTTTAATCAGTTTTAATATTTTTGCTTTTGTTACGCTCCCGGGTCTAAGGCCTTAAGCATGTACTTTCTTATTAGAGCATAACAATTTCAGACAGAGTTTGGGGGATACTAATAATCTTCAATAAAACTTACTTTAATGAAGTAGTTGAACAGATTATAGGTAGTAGATTGGCAGACAGCAACCGCCCTGGGAGGTACTACCGTCCTGCCAAGTGAATGTAAAACGAAAGCCTGTAATTGTTTTACATGATGGTAGGATTGCTGGTGTCCATTTTTCTGTCTCATAAATATGCAAGGTTTCAGATACGTCTTGCTACTTCTTACACTTAGGTCACACTACACATACATGTACAGGCATATATATACACACACATCCCTCTGGGTTTTCTTTTATTTTCTTTCTAGTTCTTATTTTTGTTTATTTCCTCTTATCTCCATGGGGAAGTGGAATAGAATTCTTCCTCCGTAAGCCATGCGTGTTGTAAGAGGCGACTAAAATGCCGGGAGCAAGGGGCTAGTAACCTCTTCTCCTGTATATATTACTAAATGTAAAAGGAGAAACTTTCGTTTTTCCTTTTGGGCCACCCTGCCTTGGTGGGATACGGCCGATGTGTTGAAAGAAAATATCTTTGTCAAGAATGCTTACTGCACGTTATACTTCAAGTTTCCTAGATTATGCCTCAAAATACATGGTTACAGAGACGTTAAATCTATAGAATGTGACGTATATACAGGTACTCCTTCAGAGTAGAATATCTAGTCTTCATACTAGATCAGTCAGTTTTATACAATTTATCAGAATATACAATTGAGAAAAACAAGTCAGTCAGTCAGTTTATAAGATCAGAGCAGGAGTGTTGACTCGTTTGGCTGGTATTTCCACACTGACTCCAGCTCTACAGCGAGCATGAAGGTTAGGTAGATCAAGTGACTATTACCACCACCTGCTTGGCACAGAAAGGAGGAGGGGGGTTGTATAATAACCAAACAGAGTTCATTGGTTTTAACTCCTAACCATTACCTATCTCAGGTACACAGACCAGTAACATAGTAATAGTAATACACTAGAACATAAGTGATTGTGGCCACAAAATTATTATTATACAAACAAATAATCTTAATAATAAGGGAAAGGTAGTAGAGGTGCAACACTTTAAATGTCAGTAAGTGGATTTTCTGCAGCACAGTCATAGAGCAATATTTGAATAAATATGAGCAATTTAAGAATCGTGTAGCATAAGATGGAGTGAATGAGATTAAGTAAACCATCTATATAACAGACCAGAACTACAAAACAAAGTTCAGCGACTCACTTCGGAAATGACAGAGTTCATTGGTTACAGAATTTTCAGTTATTGTTACTGTCATGGCAAAACAATCACCTTTCTATCCACCACAATTGCCATTACTGGTTACCTGCTCTCCTCTATTAGTCCATTATATTGAGGGTTTACTCTTTAGAGTTTAAAGCCATTGTGTTATGCTGTTTTATTTATTCAGGTAAATCTAATTAAAATTTTGTAAATATGTTAAGTATAAATAATTGGATTTTTTTTTTAATTGCAATTTTAGTTTTTTGGAAATTCGATACTAATGCTATGCTGAAGAATACAAGTCACAATACCATGGCTGGAACAATTCACAAATAATCAACAATGAAGAGAAAATTTTAAACAGCGTATCAGTAAATATTTATATGACATGTATATGTACGTTCATTCCTAAAAATAACTGTTGTATAAAAAGCATTATGGAGAAACAAAAGTTGGAATTTCGGTCTGATGTATACTATAAAAAAAATTTGTTATAGGTAAATATACAAACGTTCTTTACCTAACTTCCTGGTTGAATATCTTTAAGGGTGAGCTATTCAAGTTTGTTTCAAGAACTGATACTTGACAATGGTTCTAAACAGACTGAAACATCTTTTCTCCAAATCATGAGTTATTTGTGAATTGCCATCCTGATACCACTGCTGTACTTAAGTAGCTGAAGAAGAGAGTATATTTTGAATATTAAAACCTTTATTTATGCAATTATTATTTTGTTATAACTTGTAGTATATTTTTATCAAGTTCTGTAGATGATTTCTAGTGTATTCCTCCCTTAAGGGTATACTTTGCTCATTGAACCAGTTAGAATTCTGATTATGTATATATATATTACATTTTAAGAAAGACTTAAAGCAAGGTTTTTATTATCAAATGCCAGCTGACATGGGACAAAAGCTTAACAAATGAACAAGTTTATTTAAAAATAAGATAGACCTTTGTATAATGCATTATTTATATACTTTCTGTAAAACCAGTATTATAAAAAGCATTGTGTACATTGAAAAACTTGGGGAAACATAGAATTAAGTTCTAGGATTCATGTGTGTAAAAAATATAGTAAACAAATATATAAATGTTTTACATGATAGGATTGCTAGTGTCTTTTTCTGCTTCAAAAACATGCAAGGTTTCAGGTACGTCGTGCTACTTACACTTAGGTCACACTACACATGCATGTACAAGCATATTTATACACACCCCTTTGGGTTTTCTTTTATTTTCTGACTAGATGATGATCTTTTTCATTTCTTCATATTTCCATGGGAAAGTGGAACAGATTTCTTCCTCCATAAGCCATGCGTGTTGTAAGAGGGGACTAAAATGCTGGGAGCAAGGGGCTAGTAACCCCTTCTCCTGTATACATTACTAAATTTAAAAGGAGAAACTTTGTTTTTTCTTTTGGGCCACCCTGCCTAAGTAAGATATGGTTGTTAAAAGGTGTAGTAGTAAACAAATATGTAAACATTCCTTACCTCAGCTTGGCTCCTTTTCATTTCTTTACAGGTTTGTTTTAATTATAATAGGTGAAATAAATAACTGGTAGATCTGCCCATAGTATTAAAATGTTATTACCATTTTTGTCTACACCTGACAAGCCCCATATGCCTAATCCTAGGGCAAAGAAAAGTTTGTTCCTCTTCTTCCACTTCCCCCCCCCCCCACACACACACACACACACCTGGTAAAGGACATTAACCATTTTATTTTAAATACATAATACAACTGTGGAATTTTTGCCTCTTCAAGGGGGGCTCCTTGGCATGGTGAAGAGGCTCTTGGTCTGAGGAATTAGACCTGTCGGTCTCCTTCCTCAGACCGAACCTAATTACCCCCCAATCCCCCCTTCCCTATCCCATCCTCCCCTTTTTCCTTTCCTCCTCCTCTCCACCCCTCCCTTTTGCCCTTCCTATTTTGGCCTTTGGGATTTTTCTCCACAGGCGTGCTAGTTCCTAGGTAGGGGAAAGGGTACCAGGGTCCATCCCATTCCGTTGAGGTTCTTGGCGGTGGCGTAGTTTGCCATGGAATCTGGATCGCCTGGGGATGTCCCGATCCCTCTCCTGTATCCCGGAGGGTGGCTTTGGGTGTCTTTCGGGTGACAGGTGTATCTCTGGAAGCCACATTTCGGATTCCAGGGGTGGTGGCCAAAGGAGGTATGCTTTGTGGCGGATATCCGGCCACCCTCTCTTTTGTCCACTGAGGTAGCTCAGCAGATGTGAGGTTGCTATCCTGGATTGCTGGTTTACTGGCATGAAAGGTAGGGTATGGCACGGGTTCCATGCTGCATCTGCGCTACTTGCGGTGCTGAGGTCCTCTTGGGCGCGGAGGGAGGTTTCTGGCCCTTTCATTCCTCCTAGGAACTATCCCTCCCCGGTCCCCCCTTTTTTTCTTTTTTTTTTTATTTTCTTTCTTTTTTTTTTCTTAAAAACAAAAAGAAAGAAGTAACCTAACCATGGAGCACCTGATCCATGACCCCACTACCACTGGGCCCCTTATTGTTACCGCACCCCGTTCTGACCTCGCCTCGTCTTTTGGCCACTCCTCGGACATTCCTAAGGCCCCTGTACCTCTTGCTGGTGCTGTTTCGTCACCCGCTTCAGGTGCCGGGGTTTCGACTGACTCCTTCGATTTCTCTGACCTCCGCTCTCCTTTGACTATGCTTCCGGCCTCTCCCTCTATGGTGCGACAATTTTCGAATCGCCAGTCCGTCCCACGTCGGACCGACTCTGGTCCCACTTCTAAACGCCAACGACAATCTCCTGATGATGTTACTTCATTACCTTCCCATTCTACTCGGAAAAGACTGACACGTCATGCACTCCCTCTCCACACTCAGTTTCGGACCATACAATGGACTAAATTCTTTACTTTAAGACTGACTTCTTCTACTGCCTATCTTTCCGACCATAGTATTGGCAAAGCGCTCCTACACCACGTTGGTAGAGATATGTATTTCCTTTCATGCTCTTAAGAGTGGTACGCGCATCATCACAGTCCAGAATTCTACCCAAGCTCATGATCTTTCTCTTCTGTCAGATACTATTCCTATCACTATTGAAAAACATCATTCCCTCAATTCTTGTAGTGGTACTGATATTCTGTCCCATACCATAGTAAAACAGAATTTCCAGACACGTGGCAATGACATTCTCGAACAGCTGAAACTCCAAGATCTCCCAATTCTCAAGGTAGACACTTATGTTCTTCCTGCCTGCAGGCGAAGATGATACCCTTGCAATGTGGCTCATTTAACTTTTGACAGCTGTGAACTCCCATCCTCTGTTTATGTAGCAGGACATCGGTTACAAGTTTGGAAGGTGATCCCTACACCGCAACAGTGTAGGAATTGCTGGCGATTTAGCCACCCAGCAAAATATTGCAGATCTATAGCCGAATGCCCAGTCTGTGGTGCCAATGACCATTCTAATACATCTTGCAGTCGACCTCCCTCTTGCCTTAATTGTCATGAGGCTCACACTTTGTACTCTCGCCGTTGCCAGGTCTACTTAAATGAGCGGGAAATTTGTTGCCTCAAAGAGGCAGAAGGTCTCCCTTATGCTATGGCAGTTTCTCATCTCCCCCTCCAAGGGAGACTACCCTGTGTTTCTTATTCTCGTGTTTCAAAACGTCCCCCCACTTCTGGGGTCCCATCTTCTGCAGCCTCCTCTACGGTTGCCAGTCCCATAGTCACTCCTGTATCTAATTCTTTTACTGTCCTGGGCTCAGACGTCCCTACTTCAACACTTCAGTCTGTCCTCACTTCTTCGTGTTCTCCCTCACAAACCCCGGTATCGACAAGACCTCGTACGACACCTCCTCCCAATCATCCCTCTACTTCTCAGAGGTCCAACAAATCTCCTTTAACACCTCCTTCCCTTCATCCACCTCCACATTTTACCTTCCCGGTCTCTGTACCTAGGTCTTCCCCTTTCACTGGCTCCGTCACAAGTGTGGAGGTTCATCCTCCTCCTCATACTGTGCCTTCCTCCCCTGTCCCCTCCCAAGTTTCTTCCTCTTCTGCCACCTCCCAGGTTTCTGCCTCTTCTGTCCCCTCCCACACTTCTTCAGTTCCCTCCACCCTTTTGCCCCCCCTACCTTGGTACAGTCCATTACAGCTCTGATCTTTACTCAAACTCCTCCACCTTCCATCTCCAATATTGTCTCCCATACGACGTCTCTGAACTCCAAAACACTTGAAGCAATCTCTGAATATATTGCAGAGACCAAACTATCAATGGACACTGATCCACCCTCTGTTCCTTCTCTTTCCTCTTCCCCATCTGCGCATCTCCTTTCTTCACAACGCACCGTTCCTTTGCTACTTGAACGTTTTCCTTTGCCACCGCATGTGGACTTTTCTAACCCCTCTAGTCCGTAGGTACCCTTACCTGTGGATTTCAGGTATCTTTATCATTGCCAATCATGGCCTATTTACAGTGGAATATTCGCGGCCTCAGGGGTAATCGGGGTGAGCTTCAGATGTTGCTCTCCCAGTTTTTCCCTGTTGGTGTTTGCTTACAGGAACCAAAATTACACTCTGCCGTTATCTATCCCATCTCAGGCTATAATTTATTGTATTCTTCAGATCCTTTTCCTGATGGGACCTTTAATGAAAGTTCCCTTCTTCCACGCACTGATATTCTGTACCATCAGCTATTTGTCCGTACTTCGCTGCATTACATAGCAGCCCGTATCCACTTGCATAGGTGGTATACACTGTTCTTTGTATCTCTCTCCTTCTCGGGCATTATCTATCCCGGATATTGCCTTTCTTGTTTCGTCATTACTGCCACCACTTCTGTTACTTGGCGATTTTAATGCCCATTTCCTCTGGGGGGGGTCTCACTGTGATTCCCGTGGCATTCAGTTAGAGGCTTTTCTTGTTACCCACCCCCTCCATGTTTTAAATACAGGTACTCACACCCATTTTGATCCTCGGACTCATACTCTCTCTTGCATCGATCTCTCAGTCTGCTCTTCCTCCGCTGCATTAGACTTCACCTGGTCTGTTCTCCCGGATTTACATGACAGCGATCATTTCCCAATTATTCTTACTTCCCCTTCATATTCACCACCTCTTCGTAACCCACGCTGGCAATTTGATCAGGCAAATTGGAACCTTTACTCACAACTAACTGTTTTTAGTGAGGTTTCTTCTTCTTCCTCCATTGATGAGCTTTTACACCTCTTTTCGTCCTCCGTTTTAACTGCAGCTTCTCATTCTATACCCCAAACTTCGGGCAGACATTCTCAGAAATGCGTGCCTTGGTGGTCTCTTGTTTGTGCTCGTGCAGTACGTTTGAAACGCGCTGCGTGGGGCAGATACCAGTAGAATAGAACCACGGAGAGACTTCTTGATTTTAAGCAGAAGCGTACGATTGCTCGCCGTGTCATCCATGACGCTAAATGCACTTGCTGGCGAGATTGTCTCCACCATCATCTCTGCTTCCTCTATGAGCGCAGTCTGGAAAAAAGTGCGAAAACTGAGTGGTAAATATTCTCCTGACCCGGCTCCTGTTCTGCGGGTTGCCGGTGTTGATACAGCAAACCCACTAGATGTTGCCAACAAAATTGGCAATCATCTGGTCCGTATTTCTCGGGGGCTCCATCTATGCCCCTCGTTTCTTTCCTCAAAGTCTGCCAGAGAGTTAGCACCCTTGGACTTTTCTTCTCTCAGAGAAGAACAGTATAATGTGCCTTCTACACTTCAGGAACTGGAGGCAACACACTCAGCTTGCTGATCATCGGCAGCTGGGCCCGACGACATTCATATTCGTATGCTACAACATTTACATCAGTCAGCCCTTGCAGTCCTATTATGCCTTTTCAATCTTATTTGGTCACAAGGAGTTCTCCCACAGCTATGGAAATCTGCCATTGTTCTCCCTTTCCGCAAACCGGGTACTACGGGACATGAAGCCTCCCACTATCGTCCCATTGCTCTACCAGTGCAGTTTGCAAAGTGATGGAACGCCTAGTAAATAGACGTTTAGTGTGGTATTTAGAGAGACACGGCAATCTCTCCACTCGTCAATATGGCTTTCGTAAGGGACGTTCTACCATAGACCCCTTACTACGCTTGGATACATATGT